GCGGGAGACTTCAAGGTATACCTGCTTGACGTTCGCAGGCCTCGGAGTCACCATCTTACTTCATTATGCTACTGTTAAATTATAATTCAAAATCATATTGTGTTTAGAAATTCTAGCGTGTTTTAGTAGTGCTTATGACTCCGTACTACCGGTTTTGTAAAATGTATAACTATTGACCGCTTGCGGCTATGTATATCATTTAATGGTTTATGATAAATGATTAAATAGTTCAGTTCTGTTATTAAATCAATATGTGTTAGGCTTACTTAGTTTTAGAGACTAGGTGCCATCACAACATCCTATGGTGAAAAATTGGGATTGTGACATCAACAAATAACAACATCTCACTATGTTCTTTTTAGAAGGTATTGGCCAAACTTTTCCGTTCCAAATCTCAAAAAGACCAAAAGGTTCAACTTTTTATGTTATTAAACAAATATTTGAAGAATCGTGATAAAATTATTTTTATGTTTTATTTTCATCTATTAAATCACAAATATAATAATAATTTTCATTAGATATTCCTACATAAGTTTTCATAACTCAAAATAAAGCATCTGGAAATTTTTGTGAGACAAAATTTATTTGTTTAAGAGCTAGCTAATTGAAAATAACATGCACTATTTTTATTATCTAATAATATTTATGTATTTTTTAAAATTATATATTTATTAATATGGGTACACGCAAAGCGCGTACCCTAAGACTAGTCTATCTATCTATATTATTATAAAAGCACGAATGTTTTACGCTAAATATTAAACGACAAAAATATCCTTAATATGTTAATCGACTTTTATAGCCTTAAATATTTTGTCAAAAAGATAGTTCCATGTTGGATAAAACAGTACTATCTAATTAATTTGCCTAATATTTAGGAATCTGATACCAACTAATGATAAATTTTTTAAAAAATTAATAATTGAATGTAAAGTTCTAATTTCATACTAATTCTACTTAGACAATTACACGGAACAATACTACAATAGTAGAATCCCATGTGCTCTTAGAGTTCCAAACCCATACCAATCCCACATATGAAACATATATTCCTCTATATAAACAATTTCATTGTATTCACGCTTGCAGCACAAAACATGTATACAAGGATCTTTTTAGAGGTAGTTTTCATCTCTTTTATTATCATATTTTATAGATTAGATTTGGCTCTTTAACACAGCCAAAAAAAGTTACTAATAATTAAGAAGTTGAATCTTTAATTTTACGCATGTTGGCTAATAATTCGTCCATATTTTTATGGGTTAAGTAAGAGTTTTGTTTGTTTGTTGGACGGGATGTTGATGTAAAGTTTGAATTAAACGACACTCGGAATAGTGGGAATACGGTCTCCACAATTCCCATACAAAGGAACTATTTTATAATATTTTGCTCAACATGGCTATAACTAGCGTTCAAGGGCATGACCGAATTATAAGTAAATGGGACTATAGTATTCGTTCTCTTATCTTTTAACTTGATAGTATATTCATGAGTTATTTCGTCTTCCTTATATGCGAGGTAGTTCATAAACTAATTTCTTTTATTTTTGTAACAGGAGGAGACTTAAAGAGGAAGATGTAAATATATTAATTAATGGGGAAGATTTAATTTGTGGCATCATGTGAAGAGAATGGCTGAAGAAGTTAGAAGGAATAATGAATCAACTAACAGTGTGTTTTTAAACAACAAAGTAATGCACTCTTATTGTACTTTAAAGAATTTTGAGTTTTGTTGTCCTAGATAACAGCCATATAATTTCGATTTCTTCTTTACTTAAAAGATTCAAACTTATGCTTACCTCAAGCCTTCACTACATCTCCTACACAAAAAATAGATAAAATAATTACACCAACAATCTACTCTATTGTTCTTTTATTAAATGACTAAATATTAAAATTTGGATTCAGACAATATCAATCAAACCATGCTTATTGATTTTCGGAACGTGCTCAATAAACGACGAAGCACAGACATATCTATACAAAGAATTGACATAGTTTTATATCTGAAATCCTTAACCGACACTATGAAATAGAAAAAAGATCCATAATTGATCGAATTGCTACATATCACTTTTTTTTTTTCAAATCATTTGCTTGAAAAATGATTTTTTTGTATATAATATTTCTAAAATTTTAATTTGAAATCCTTTCATAAATAATTGACTTAAGAATCTCGTGCAACGCATGAACGTAGAAACTAGTACTATATTAAAATCACGAAGACCGTTAGCAAAATATCGTTCGCCCTTTTTGCCCTTTAAAAATAGAGTTCACATTGGACAAGATTGTAATTAATTATTTTTCTAATATTTAGGATTTTGAAATCAAATAAAGTTTTTCTTATTAAATTTTTCCTTATTTGATCTATGTAGAACTCCTAATATTTAGGAATTTGAGATTGAGTAAGATTTTACCTCGAAATTTTCTATAAATTAGGCCAAGTAATAACATCTCACTTTTAAGCTCCTTTCACGTTAAGTTATAGATAAATAAAAATTTTGATTCTCATAATATTCACAAATTCTCAAAAATATGATTTTTAGGTGGTTCATATAAAAGCAAAGAGGCCAACGAAAACTAAAAAAGCAGAGGCACAAAAACTCTTTGTGGCTATATCAACAAATTAATCTAAGCGTTTTGTTAAATCACTTTTGTTGTTTTTTCTTTCTCTCTCTTCACCTTTAAAGTTAAAATATATTTTAAAGGTATCCTCTATGTTCTCCCTTTAAAAATATATTTTACACTAGACAAAAATAGTTATTTAATTATTTTATTAATATTTAGAACTTGAAAATCTGTTGAAATTTGGTTATTAAATTTTTCCTAATTTGAATTATATACTTAAAAATTAGGACTTTAAATCAATTAAATTTTACCTTAAATAAATAGTTAAAAAGTCAACTATTTGAAGCGTTAATTTTTATTATCCCATCCTTATTCGAAATCTAAATTGATAGGTTAATTACCCTTTTCATTGTCTGTGTTTTGCAAACATCTAATATCTATTACTTACTAATTATAAAAACATGAACACTTTGCAAAAATGATCAATATTTTAATCCTTTGAAGATAAATTTATATTAGACAAATTATTATTTTAATACTATAAAATTAAGTCAAATTTTAATTATTATATTTTTTTCTTATTTGAATAATGTACAAACTCAAATATTTAGGTACTTAAATTATAACATAAACATTATCTAACTAAATTTAACTTTAGGTAAAATAATATTATTAAAACTTCAAAGGGTAAAAGGGATTTTCCAAGTTATAAATGCTTGGACAAAATTATTGTTAAATACCTTAAATAAATAGTTAAAAAGTCAACTATTTGAAGCGGTAATTTTTATTATCCCATCCTTATTCGAAATATAAATTGATAGGTTAATTACCTCTTTCATTGTCTTTGTCTTGCAAACAATTAAATATCTATTACTTACTAATTATAAAAACATGAACACTTTGCAAAAATGATCAATATTTTAATCCTTTGGAGATAAATTTATATTAGACAAATTGTTATTTTAATACTATAAAATTAACTCAAATTTTAATTATTAGATTTTTTCTTATTTGAATAATGTACAAACTCAAACATTTAGGCACTTAAATTATAATATAAAAAATATCTAACTAAATTTAACTTTAGGTAAACTAATATTATTAAAATTTCAAAGGGTAAAAGGGATTTTCCAAGTTATAAATGCTTGGACAAAATTATTGTTAAATTTAAATATTTAAAGCTTAGATGAGCTAATATTTAATGCTTAGATGACCCTCGCTTTCTGTTGGTAGTAGATATTTATGAGTAACCGTTGTTTCTTTCATTGTTGATCACCTTACTATCTGGTTGTTTTTATTCTGCTTTTATATGGCTGCTTGGTACTGTCCCTTCTTATCTATATTTTCATTAATGTAGTGCTTATGCTTTCCTAAGCCGAGGGTCTATTGAAAATAACCTCTCTATCCTCACAAGGTAGGGGTAAGGTCTGCGTACACACTACCCTCCCTAGACCCCACGACGTGAGATATTACTGGGTATGTTGTTGTTGTTGTTGTTGGATGAGCTAATATGAATTTGACAACAAAAAAAATTATTCCCTTTAAGGTTGAAAACAAATAATTAACGTCTAAATTAATTAACTAATTAACAATTAAATGTATCCAATGCAATTTATTTCTAAATTATTATATAAGTAAAAATTATTTTCAAGTTGAAAAAATTCTTAGGCTACATAAATATGTTTTTATAAAAAGAGCATTAGTAATGGACGATATAAAAAATAAAGCAAAATAGTTATTCTATAGTACTAAAAGTCAAATTGGTAAAACTATAAACTTAAATCAATAATAATAAAACAGTAGTAGATAAAATGCATTCTAAAATGAATTATTGGTATTACATTTTTTTTTTCTTTTCACATTCATTTCAATACATGGTAGCTCCCCATATTTTTTATATATTAAATTATTTTGGTAAAATATTAACACAACATTAGTCAAATTTAAACTTTGCATCATTACCTATAAATTTTTTCTATGAGCTATAGGGCAACCTCTTTTTTTCCAAATCTCTAAAATACCAAAATATTTAACATTTTAATTTATTTTATTTGAAAAGTATTTTTGTGATTTATTTGTTTTCAGTATTAGGTAAAAGAAAATAATTTTAAAATAGTTTATTTGTGAAAGGACTTTTGTGGAGCAAGCTTTTTTCCATTGAATTAGTTAAATGAGATTAACATTCATTATTTTCAAGAACTTACTCTTTTTAATTTTTTTTTAATATTATGTGATTTTTTTGTGTACCCCTTTATATAAATACACGCGCAAAGCACGTACCATAAGCGATAAAGACTACCCTTAAAAGCATTTTACTCGTAAAAGGGATTGCTATAAAAATTGTAGGGGTCAAAAGTAATATGGAAAATTGTAGGGGTCAAAAGTAAAAAGGCTGGTAGATCTCCCTACTCCCAACAAACGCACACTACTCCCTTATAAGGGTCAGAATTTATATAGTAGACTGAAGTGGGTCAGATTAGAAAAACAAAAAAGAAAAAAAAATGGAGAAAATGAACCAGGCTTTGGAGAAGATGAAAATGCTGGTGGGAATGGATGTGGAAGATGAAGAAGCAGCTCCTCAGCAGGAATCTTTCATGGATGATTTTAATCGCAACTGCACTTTATCTACCAAACAGGTGTGAAATTTGGGTGATTTAATTTTGTTTTTTGATCATTTATCTTGTCTTAGTCTTAAAAATACAATCAATACCTCTTTAATTTTTGGTTGAGATGGACTTACTTATTCATACGATCTAATGTTGATTGGTAGAGTTAGTATTTATGTTTTTATTTGGTTGTATTTTTGAGCTAAAATACATTTAATTTCATTCATTGCTGTGTTACGTGAATGGGGAAAGACATGAGCGTGGGCAATAGATACTAAGTATGGATCCTTTGTAATAGCTAAAAACTCTAGGAATATCTGAATGTGCACGTCCACGTATCTGATGTACTAGAAGTCGGGGTCCATTTACACATATTTAAATTATGAAAGTGTCTACTTTTGTAATTAAAAATGTAAGAAAGGGAAAACAAAAAGCTAGAACTGATGACATCTAGAGGTCGATGCTAATCGCCTGTTTGGCCAATCTTTTGGGAAGATAGACACTTTTTTTTCCCTTTTGAGATTTGAGGTGTTTGGCCACAAACGAAAAGTGTTTTTGAATAGCTGCATTGTAAAGGCATTTGTACAAGTAACTCAATGCTTTTAAGTTTTGAAATAATTATTGTAATTACGTTGTGTTTGATGACTTGAAGGTAGAGCTAGAATTAGCAAAACTTAGAAGAATGGAAGAAATTCTAGAAACTCTAACAACGTAAAAGCCTGTTGTTTTTAACTCACTTGATCTATCCTGCTTGGCGAGTTATACTACCTGCTAAAAAAATATCCTGCTGGTATAGTACTCCAATAACATAATTTGAAAGCACCAAGAGAAACATTCTTAGCCTTAAGCTTAGAGCTTTTTCTTTGCTAGCTTTTGGTGCAACCTAGCTTTTGTACATGATATAGATGCCATGTTAGATATAATCGAGGAATTGCACAATCTGTAGCTCTATTTTGTAGCACTAGCTTAGTTCCTCTAGCAGTCATTCCTGCTTAGCATATTGGAAAATAGTATACTGGTAACCTTTTCTAATGGACATGCAGCTAAGCAGCCTGAAAAATGAAGTGCTGTTGTTAGTGGAGGAATATTACTGGAAATATCTCTATCTAGAGATATCAGGAGCAGATGTTTCTATGTCTCTGTTTAAGACTACTGGAAAGTTAAAGCACTTGCAACAGGGCAAAGATATATATTCTTAAAATTGGTGAAAACACATTATTTTACCTTACTATTTTTTTTTTTTGGTGAAAACACATGAGGTTGGAACCTAGGTGTGGACTCATTTCTTCCCCATTTATGGTTAAAGTATTGTACAAATCCTTAGATTATTTTGACCGATGCAGATACTTGTACAGAAGAAGTTTTTCAATCTTAGCCCATCACTTGAAACATAATATGCTTCTCTCTCAACTTCCTTACAAGATTCAGCAAAGCAAATATCATCGTAGGTGCGAGAATGATTTTCTCAATTAGGATGGACGGTAAGTTGAAGAGAAATTGATAATTTGATGATCTTGGGAAGATTGTACTATGACATAGTCGATTTGTTTGAATTGCACTATTTGATGTTGAGATCAACAGGTGTAAGGTATCAAGAAGTGATATGGTACTGAATCCTGGTTTAATACTCGTTAATTAGACACCTTACCATATAAAAATGGAAAAAACCTGAATCCTAGTTTAATACTTTAATTAATATGGACATTGATATTACTAAAATATACAATATATAATCTTTAGTGGGTATGGAAGTAACATGCAGTTGATACAGTAAGCATATGACAAAAAACATGCGGTTGATATAGTTAGTGGATGAAGAAAACATAGCTGGTGATTTCTAATATGCAGCCGGGGGGAGGGAGGAGGGAGCGAGTGAGATTTGAGTGTTATTCCATCTTAACTAAGCCAAAGGCAATAATCTTTACGGAGATTAGGATGAGCCTTCATGAGTGTACATCAACATATGTGATAGTGCCACATGTGCATGAAATCACAACATTTTCTTTTGTATTATTTTTATTATGGTGTTTTCTGGTTCTTAAAGTACTTTGAAGGATCCTGACCATTTAATACCCATTAGACATAGGTATATGTAGGAAAAATGAAGAATCCCGGTAAGGTTGGCACCAGAGACAAGAAAGAATTCACAAATAGGCTAGATAGAGGGCCTGGAAGTTCGAATCACTAGTTAAAGAGCGAGCAGACTTGTTAACTTTATGCAGACATGTGGTTGTAGTGTGTATTGAATATTGACTTGTGAATATGCAATTTTCTTTATTGGGGTTTCCAAATTTCCTCTCTCCTTTTTAACAGGATCCCTATACTATCACTAATGGGCTAAAAAGAAACTACTTGGTTACGAGCACAACATGGAAGATGTTCAAGAAGATAAAATGTGTGGTTTTTGTGAGATGTAACCAAGGAGAACTAGATATGGTGATAGTGGAACTCGCACTATCCTATGGGTCGATTAGATCTTGCCGAGTTCAATTTGTTTCTATTCAGAATGTGATGCTTCAGTAGACTTATACTGAATTTTATTTCATAAAGTGAATGGGAACACTAACTGCACTATCATATGTGTAATCAGTGACCAACTATGTTCATTTTTTTTTCCTCAACAGAGGCTTTATGGTTTTGCTATATGCTTATCAACTGGTATCGCTTGTACTCTCTTGGTGAGTTGCACTTCTTTAAATCCTTTTGTTCTTTCATTTCTATCACTAGTTCTTTTTGGTTCTTGGGATCATTACATGGAGTTGCAGATGCATAACCTGTTGGTGCAACTTCTTCTAGACAAAAAAGAATTTAATGGTTTATACGAGAGTCGAGACGGTTGAAATGGGCTTTTTTCATATTGCAACTTATCTTTTATACGTGCTTTGCTTTTCAAACTTTACATGCTTGTTGCTTTCAGCTCATTAGAGCTAAAAGACTATGTTAGATAGTTATGTACATAACATGAATTAGTCCTAGTCCCACATAGAATAGGAGTATGATATGTATTGTATAAATAAGGCTCATTGTATTATAATTAAATAGAATATCAATAATATATTTTTCTCCCGTGTTTTCTCACATGGCATCAAAGCAATCATGAGAGATTTATCGCTGTGTATAAATTCCAGCGACTCCGGGAAGAGAAATCAGTCAACCGGAAGTCTTTTTTTCGGGAAAACACAGGTTTGCCGCAAGTAAAAAGCCAATATTCGTCAGTGTTGTTCAAAAACCAACACCACCACGAAGTAGATTGGCCTCCGGCGACCAACCCATAAAATAATCTCCGTCAGAAGACCCTCCACGCCCCCCCGGAAGAAACTTTTCCGGCGAAATTCCAACGTCACACGCCGGCTCGTGGGCTACCTTCCGGCCATTTTTTGGTGACAACTCTTAGGACAGCTGGTTCCCCTTGCAATTCCGAGCCTACCCATCCAATTTAAATCAAATTCCAACCACTTTTATATTTTTCTGGCGTGAACAGTAGTTTCCAAAAAAAATCTTTTTTTTTCCTGCGTAAACATTATAATGACATTCGTATCAGAAGCCTTTGACTCACAATCCGTTGGATACAATGCATTGAATCCAATCCAGTTGGTTTCTTTACCGAATTATATTGAGTTCCTTCAGTACAAAGCGTGTAAACAGACATTTTCAAGGATAACTTCCGTTGTTCAAACAGATAGTAGAGTGACTTGTGTCTCCCAATCTTCAACCTCTGAGTCTTGGGTCATTGATTCAAGTACATCTGATCATATTTCTGTAACAAATCTCTTTCCACTACTATTTCATGTTCTCAATCTCTCCCAACAGTCACAATGGCCAACGGGTCTCAAACCATGACAACTGGAATAGGTCAACGGGTCTCCCAACAGTCACAGTTCTTTATGTTTCCGGTAGTCCTTTTAATCTCATAGCCGTTAGTCGCTTAGCCAAATTACTTAAATGCTCTATTTTATTTCTTGTTGACCTTGTTTTTATACAGGAACGCAATACATGGCAGATCATTGGTACCGAGCGTGAATCAGATGGACTTTATTACCTTATCCTTGCAAAATCACTTGGACTCACATATTTTCTTCCTTCAACAACTTGTCCTGTTACTGATTCACCAGATTTATTACATAAACGGTTGGGACATCCCAGTTTATCAAAACTTCAGAAAATGGTACATGGTTTATCTCACTTGTCCACTCTAGAGTGTGAGTCATGTCAGCTCGGTAAGCATACCCGCTCCCATTTCCCTCGGCGTCTTGATAATCGAGCAGAGTTACCTTTTACTTTAGTCCATTCAGATGTTTGGGGACCTAGTCGGGTCAGTTCTACCTTGGAATTCCGCTACTTTGTCAGTTTCATTGATGATTATTCCAGGTGCACTTGGATATTTTTGATGAAAAATCGATTTGAGTTGTTTTCTATTTTCCCGATCTTCTACGCTGAAATTCAAGATCAATTTGGGGTTTCTATCTGCACATTTCGTAGTGATAATGCCTTAGAGTATTTGTCTTCCCCATTATGTCGGTTTAAGTTACCATCGTCTGTCATCACCCCATTGTGCATTTGTATCATCTTTGTCCTTTGTTTCCATCCCTAAGTCTACAGGTGAAGCACTATCTCATCCAGGGTGGCGATAGGCTATGATTGACGAGATGTCTGCTTTACATACGAGTGGTACTTGGGAGCTTGTTCCTCTTCCTTCGGGTAAATCGACTGTTGGTTGTCGTTGGGTGTATGCAGTCAAAGTTGGTCCAGATGGCCAGGTTGATAGACTTAAGGCTCGTCTTGTTGCCAAAGGGTATACCCAGATATTTGGGCTCGATTACAATGATACTTTCTCTCTTGTGGCTAAAATAACATCAGTCCGCCTTTTTTTATCCATGGTTGCTGTTCGCCATTAGCCTTTCTATCAGTTGGACATTAAGAATGCTTTTCTTCACGGTGACCTTGAGGATGAGGTTTATATGGAGCAACCACCTGGTTTTGTTGCTAAGGGGGAGTCTAGTGGCCTTGTATGTCGGTTGAGCCAGTCCCTCATGGTCTAAAACAGTCTCCTCGAGCCTAGTTTGGTAAGTTTAGCATAGTTATTCAGGAGTTTGGCATGACTCGTAATGAAGCTGATCACTCTGTGTTTTATCGGCATTTTGCTTCAAATCTCAGTATTTATCTGGTGGTTTATGTTGATGATATTGTTATTACGGGCAATGATCAGGATGATATTACTAAATTGAAGCAACATCTCTTTCAGCACTTTCAGACTAAGGATTTGGGCAGATTAAAGTATTTTCTAGGTATTGAGGTTGCTCAGTCTAGCTCAGGTATTGTAATCTTACAACGGAAGTATGCCGTAGACATTCTTGAGGAGACAGGAATGACAGGCTGTAGACCTGTTGACACTCCTATGGATCCGAATTCTAAACTTCTATCAGGACAGGGGGAGTCGCTTAGCGATCCTGCAAGATATAGGTGGCTGGTTGGTAAATTAAATTACCTCACAGTGACTAGACCTGATATTTTCTTTCCTGTGAGTGTGGTAAGTCAGTTCTTGGATTCTCCCTGTGATAGTCATTGGAATGCAGTTGTCCGCATTCTTCGATATATAAAATCAGCTCCAGGCAAAGGATTATTGTTTGAAGATCGAGACCATGCGCAAATTATTGGATACTCAGATGATGACTGAGCAGGATCACCTTCTGATAGACTGGGCAGGATCACGTTCTACGTCTGTATATTGTGATTTAGTAGGAGGTAATTTGGTGTCTTGGAAGAGCAAGAAACAGAATGTGGTTGCTCGGTCTAGTGCAAGAGCAGAATATCGAGCAATGACTGTGGCAACATGTGAGCTAGTTTGGATCAAACATTTGCTTAATGAGTTGAAATTTGGTGAGATCAGCAAGATGGAACTTGTATGTGATAATCAAGCTGCCCTTCATATTGCATCAAATCTGGTGTTCCATGAGAGAACTAAACACATTGAGATTGGCTGTTACTTCGTCAGAGAAAAGATACTCTCAGGAGATATTGCTATAAAGTTTGTGAAGTCGAATGATCAACTTGCAGATATTTTCACCAAGTCCCTTACTGGTCCTCGCATTAGTTACATATGTAACAAGCTCGGTACATATGATTTGTATGCACTGGCTTTAGGGGGAGTGTTAGATAGAGTCCTACATAAAATAGGAGTATGATATATATTGTATAAATAGGGCTCATTGTATTATAATAAAATAGAATATGAATAATATATTTTCTCCCGTGCTTTCTCACAGTCTAAATTTTTGAGTAATTCTGTGCTGTTTTGAATTGTGATGCAACTCTAACCTTGTCTTGTAATATCTAATGGGCGTAGGGGAGGATGCTTCACTTTCTTTGCTATTCTTCCCTTAAATGCGTCACAATTGTTAGTATTTAGTTTTTGTCTATACCCAACCCCTTTCGCACCTAAACATTTATAACTTATTTAACCATAATAGACCCTTTAAACCTAACAATTTCCTATCCTTTTCCCACGAAATCCATCTTATTTTTCAAGATAAGAATTACTATGTGTATATATGATGATGTGGTGTTATGTAAAAGATTGTAAATAATTGTGTGACCATGAAATTGGAGATGATAAGGTATTTTGTATGGTTTATACTGTTTTACGATGCAGGACATAAGTGACATTCATCACATAATAATCTTTAAAGAGAAACATTGTTGCGCTAAGGGGAAAGGAAATAGAGAGAAAGACTGCCATGAGAGCAAAACTGATGATTAGATGGGAAGATGTCACTACCCGAATCCCACCGGAATTGTGATGGCGCCTAACCGAACTCGCTAGGCAAGCCAACCAACATAAACACAGCTCGAACTGAAGATCATCAAATGAATAATAAAATAAGTGTGCAAAGATTAATATAACTATTCCAAGAACTGGTAATACAATTCATGAGCGACTAAGAATAGGATTACAACGTTGGTGTGAAGAAAATACATCTGTTTGGAATATATATAAACAGAAATACAAGATCTAGACTACCATGAACAAAATGGTAGCTTACAATCGGAATGCATTGCTGGTACATCTTTAATGCTAGCCTTCGACTTCCACAACAGCTAGCTTCCAATAGGTGCAAAAGTGCAGTATGAGTACAAGTGACTTCATGTACTCAGTAAGTATATAGATTAACCTTAACAAAGTAATGGCGAAGTTTAGTCAAAAGATACTCACTTTATGTAACATGTGCAGCTCATAAGCATATACAATAACATGGAATAATCAAGAAACAACCAAGGAACAATAGATATCAATAATAAGGTGCATAATCAAAAGAGGAGGTAATAAGCATGCTTTTCTAAATAACCAAATCAAAGAATATAAAAATGCACCAAATCCACATATAAAGGGGATTTGCACCAAGTAGCTTTATCTCAAATACTTCTGAATGAATGTAGATTGTCTACGCATTACAAGAACCCAATTTCACATCAATTCCCATACGAATGCTCCTACATGAGTCTAAAATGTCTATGCATGACCAGGACTCAACATATACATCAATCCGACACCCTTTGAGTGTCCAAATCTACTAACAAGTCCCATGCATATGTAAAATGCATGAATAGCATATGTCGAATGCATGTAATAGAGGCATCAAGTAGCATATTTTGAAGATATGCACAGAAAGCATATAAAATG